CAGCCCAAACCACCAGCTTCATTGCTTTATTCTCCTTCCAGGATAGATTTTCCTTCCCTACTCTAGCGAAACAATCTAATACTTCACCCATCTCCTTAAAAGCCCTAAAGCATCAGGCATAGAGAGGAAGGCCATAGCAACTGAACTCACCACCTCTGTCCTCTCCTGTTTCTGCATCTCTTCTCCAAGCTAGGTGACCGTCTAAAGAGGTGTAGGAATTTGCCTCCCAAACGGATCGAAACCAGATCTAGAAGACGTCTTACCTCTAGCTTAGATTCTAGGATGAACAACCATCGGTCCTCAGCTAAAAGTTTAATCTCTAAATCCTGCTTGCACTGCCATACTTTCGTTAACGACCTCTGCAATTCCAAGCCTATCGGTATCCCTCCCTCAAACTCCCCCACCCACACCTTCTAAGCCACACTTCTCTTTCCTTCACTCCTGATCTCCCCACCCTAACACGAGCACCAGCCTTTGATAACCTTACGAACTCTTCTCCAGCTTCCGAAACACCAAGAAGACAAGATTCAGTGACCATCTTCAGTGTAGGAGTGCCATTCTTCAGATATTGAAACACTAAGAAGATGAAATTTTAGTTGTTCTTATCTTCCAATAACAAACTATAATACTTGTTTAGATGTTGAAAGCTTGAATCCTAGTGAAAGGATATGGTAAATTAATTATGTATAATGTATTACCCATTAACACATGGAGCTTATAAATAGTGTTGCATCCTTCATTTCTCTAACTTTTTCTCTCTTCTCAGATATTTGAAAAACTCATCTCAAGAATGTAGTTGGGAGATATTATGGGATGGATTCTATTGAAAATTGCAGAGGAAACAATGTAATTTGGAGAGGCATTTCCTCCAAAGCTGAATTCCATACGTTTTAATGTATGCTACAATTGTTTCCTTAATCTAGATGCATTCCTACTTATTGCATCATTATGTATCGGCTACCATCGCAATTCTAAGAAGTCTGATCTTACAAGTATAGCTATCAAGGTAGGTAATACCTCTCGGCTCTTTTCGCTTGTGAGAAGACAAAATAATGGATTACTAATTAACAGAGCTGGCTTTTACATGCTTTTACCCGATTTAGCTATAAAGATATATTTTTGTAAATAAAATAGTCCTATGGTGAAAATATATATATATATATATATATATATATATATATATATATATATTTTTTTTTAAATTAAGTTGACAGGGTTTCTTGTCCAACTTTCAAAATTATTTCAATCAGAACCCGAGAACCATATTTGATTTAGAAATAAATCGAGCATATATGATATAAAGACCATAAATTGTATCTCCCAAAGTGATGGTTTACGTCCAATGTTCAGACCCAAATTGTCCACCCAAATAAAGATGGTGCAGTTGATGTTGGAGGTTGTTTTTGCAACAAGCTTTCAGCTGAACTCGTCCAACAAGTTTGGATTTGTGCAGTCTTATTTAAGTGGTTTAACCTTATTGAACTTGAATAATGTATGGTGTGGGAACCGCAAATATCCCATATCAATCCATATGGGTTCAACACATTTAAAAAACACATGGGCCAAAGTCATTGGCTAAAGGTAGTGAAGACCCTTGAGCTTGTTGATTTGGGCTTAGTATGAGCCCTACACTTAAGTCTAAGTGACTATTGGTTTCAACCACCCTATAAAGCCCAAGGATAATATGGATTGATAAAAGATAAAGCCCATCAGGTTTCAGCCTTGTAATGGCCTTTTCCTCTCAACCTCTTTCCTAGGCTGTGTTTGGTTTGAAGGAAAAATTAGGGAAAGGAAGGGAAAGACAAGGAAACCTATACAAGATTTGCAAAGGTTTCCTTACCTTTCCTTTCCTTTCCCTACATTTTTCTTCAAACCAAACATAGCCTAAATGATCAAGCACTACTCATAGAGAATGATCTCTTCCTTCACTATTAATGTAGTGTCACACCTTCTAATCAGATGGATCTTGGGGTTAAAACCTTTCACAATTTTTTTTCATAATAAATATAAGTACAATTTATAAAGAATTTTTAAAATCAATTGAAATATACAACACAGTTTTAGGTTTCCATTAGAAACAATTGACAAACTCCGTACCTTTACTATTCAACTATTGCTTGCACCACTCTTACTGTTTTGACAATTGACTAACTCTACCCGTGCCATTAGTGCCTATTAATGTTTTGTCAAAATCCATACACACATGACATCACGTGACTTATAAAATTGTTTTAAAACTCAATATTACCCTTCACCCCTCTTTTGTAACTCAAGTAAGAATCACCACCTATGAACAGGATTATTACGCTGGTTTTTAGATCCGACGTTTTAGAGGAGGGAGAAGGAGACACACGGGATAGAAAGAGAGAAGGCATCGACGGGTCGTCAACCACGATCTTTTTGCAACTCACATTGATGAAACATACTCTTGTAGAAACATACCAATACCAAACTATATACGAAGAACAAAAAGTCATGTTGCACCCCAAATATATCATGTTGTAGTTGTCAAGGAGGTTTGAATGTAAATACCTGTATCCATCGCAGCAGTTGAACCCTTGCGGAATGAGTGGTGAACGAATGCTTGGTCGACAGGTGTGGTTTTCCTTAGTTAAATCGTTCATTTTTCCTTAGGTTTTCTCAGCTCTTTGACTCTAATGGGGTAGAGCAAGGAGGGCGGCTGGATGATTTAACATATTAGGAACCATAACCTAGGAGCCTTTATATTTTGACCTAATAGGATCCCATTAAGCCTATATGGGCCAAAATGTGGTATCCACTCATTAAGCCCCATACCTTATTGTTGAAGTCTACGGGCTTTGCATAAATGAATCACTTGATTTAGCCCACTTACAAAATAGCCCATCAATGCAATTGTTTCACTGAATATGTAAGCCCACTTAACAGAGATTAAAACCTAACAGATCCTCCTCTCTTCCCAACTTGAATTGTCGTCTCTCCCTAACTAAAATTTATAGAATCTCTCCCCCACCCTCAAATATTACAATCTACTAACCAACCCTTGTAGATATCACTTTCAACATCAGAATCGTCTCCGCTTATGGCATGGCGATCATTTCGGCACGATGAGCAGGTGGTCGATCTCGCTTCGAGCATGACAGTAACCTTACTTCTCGCATGGTGATCGTCTTTGGTTATTTCCGGCAATGGACTATCCAAAGACAAAGTTATTAGAGCGAAAGATCTGACCATAAGGGCCAAGTCTAATATTATCCATCACCCCCGATTCCAGATCCATAAGAGCTGCTCTATTTAATTAAGGGATAATTCATAGACATACACCGGTCTAAATATAAAACAATAATGAACTAATTTTGTTAATACATAAAACATAATATACATCAATCTAATTAAAGGCATATACTGTCTAATGTACCTATGATAGCGGTTACAACAACCACTAATATAATTATTTTTTAAATAAAATGGATATGTAAGCATTCATTACCATTTCCATAGGAAAAGTATTTTAGTAAAATCGGTCGGTGCCGGCAGCTATGACCTCTGGCTTAGCCCATTATTTTGCAGTTTCACAAGTCTATCTTGGCAGTTTTTGGTCGCGACATTTAAAATGTTTAAGCTGGCGGTTTCTTATCAGAACCACCATCTTTTCTCTTGCAAGCCAGCGTTTTTTTTCAAACCGGACGGCTGGATCGTGCCCCTAAGGCGGCAATTTTTTGTCTCTAAGCCGGCAGTGACAAAGCCGGGGGGGTCTTAACCGTTGGCTTAAGTTTAAGACAGCGGTTTTCATGACTGAGCCGGCGGTTTTGCGATCACTGACATAACCCCATTTTTCTTGTAGTGGGACTAAAGCCAATGCAGGTGATGTATATATGTTTGTTGACTAAATTCTTGTTTGAGACGATAATCTCTATGAACCAAAATCCTATTGGCAAAGCCCATGAACTTTGCCAACTGATTAAACTGACATCTTCATTAAAATAATAAGAATAAGATATTACACTAGTATGAAATTGCTTATTGACTTTTCAGTTGTAAAATTAAATAAATCTAATTCGGCTAATTTGAACATATAATATGATTATATAATCGATTTCCTAGTTGTCAATGCAATGTTAAGCCCATCGGTTGTAGCTTGTTTACAAGCAAGCATAAGCAAGTGGTGTCTGAATTATTCTAGAATGATGTGGAATCAATAAAAAATTAATCGACTCAATCTTATCAGACAAGTTACTTGATTAGGAAATAATGTTAATTTTCTTGGTGCCATGTATATTTGATTCATTGAATAAGTGATAAGAGGGAGCTTAATTGCATGGGTCAATCTCTCCCTCTTTCTCTTTCATTTCAAACTGCGTACACTTGCAATCTGAACCCCTATTTTGTTTGTTCAATCTAAACACAATTAATGAATTTCAAAACAGTGGGCCAGTTTATCCGTTCATCTTATATTATAAACGATGACCAAGTGGTATGTACGCATCTTATGTCTATCATTTTTGGGGTCTCTAGCAAGTAACGCGGCTTACAATCGAATAAGTAATCAACCCACTAATTTCCCCCGGTTTTTCCTATTGGCTTTTGTTTAGCTATTTCTAAAGATAAGATTTGAGTTTAGGGTTCAGAGAAATCATTCCACCTAAAAGTTTAAGTTGTTAAGATGAGGTCCTTGAATAGGTTCATATTCTTTAACATGCCCTCTTATACTAAAGTTTATTGGACTTGAAATATGAATAAGCACAGATTCACCTATACCATGTGCTGAATTAATTAATTATAATGGGAGCAATAAAAATATCATTTGGTCGAAATGACATCTCAAAGAAACCATTTAACCTAAAAGCTAAAGCTGTTAGGTGAGGTTGTTAAACAAATTGATATTCTCAAATGATAGTAGGTCCGAATTTGATAGGAATGTCATCATGACTGGGTCAAGTTAAATGCTAAACCTGAATCGAATTAAGTCTAGTCAGCCCTAAAAGGTATTTAAAATTGAACGGACTCGGTCCATTCCTTGGGTTTGATCTGTTCTTGCATTTCTGGTTCTTTAAATGGATCGTTTCCTCTTACGATGATGTATCATTTGATACAGAACTCCATCCAGTACTCCACACACCACAGGCATCCATGTCGATTCAAGGCCTTCAGCTTGAGGTTACAGGTACGCATGCATGCATGAGCCCATCTCCAATCACTCGCATACAGATTGGACGGCAACACGCATAAGGATTTATATGACATAATCATCAATTTCTTCATCTTCCATCTTTAATTTGTTTCTGGGTTTCTCTGGTTACAGTTGTAGGATGTACTCGGTTGAAGGACAAAGAATGGTTTTCAAGGCAAGACCCATATGTTTCCATTGAGTACGGGAGCGCCAAGTTCCGGACCAGGACCTGTACTGGTACACGTCTTGTCTCCAATCTCCATCCATTAGTTTTTTCCCCAGTTGCGTATAATTTGTTATTACTCTGCTGATTTCTCTTTTCATGATTTGGTTCAGATGGAGGCAAGAACCCCAGTTTCCAGGAGAAGTTCAGCTTCATGCTCATGGAAGGGCTAAGCGAGTTGAATGTTTCAGTCTGGAATAGCCATAGACTTACAGCCGATGATTTTATCGGCAGTGGAAGGTATTCTTCTCTCTCTCTCTGAAAATTGTTCATATAGGTGTCATGCACTACTCTTGGTCTCTTTTATCTGTGCCCAAATTAAGGATACAGCAAAAGGAACGTGCAGTGCGTATCCATACATGATTCACCTTTTCTATTTTGTTTCAAAGCCATTTTCTGAGAAAACGGTGTTGTATGGATATGGGTCTGTTATACGGTTTTGTCGGAAAACAGCTCCTTTTCTATTTTGTTTGGCATCAATACTGTCACATAAATTATTTTTTGGAGAAACAACACTGGTTTTGTTTAGTACTAAAATTGTATTACTGTTTTTAGCATTGGTCTACATTAACCAACACTTTAGATGATGCCAGCCATATTATTATACCATTCAGCAACGGTTCTGAAAATGAAAAAAATGCCAAATTTAATGTTGTTTCAAACCATGCCATCCTGATTTTCAAGGGATGATCTGGGCAATGTTTTTTTTTTTTTTGAAAAAAATGGAGTCAAACATCTTTGCCGTTTTCTGGACAATGGCATTGATGCCAAACACCGCCTATATCAACATTCTACCAATTCAATAAAAGGTGGTTTTGCATGTATATCTGCACGGATGGCATAAAATTACCAAATGAAAGTGAGTGATAGAATTATATGGTTTTCTATGAATGGTCGGTCCAAATTAATGGTCCATATCGTGATGTTGGAATCCAGCAGGAATAGGGCTGCAGATGGATATCGGACCGAATTTGAATAGGAATGTCCAAATCTAGTCCAATAAGGATCTTACATATCCAAATCCAATTTGACATCCGATGGATATGTAGACCACAGAATAGGCTATTTTAATCCTACCACAGATTTGAACTCTATTTATTTAAGGATATCCGATTTGATTAAAATATTAATAAATTTAGATAAAATTAATATAAATTTATAAAAATTAAATATAAAACATAAAAACATATTCTATAAATAAAATATATCTAATCCGAGGTCCCATTTGATTCTGAACGAATTAAATACTAAAATAAGATAGGATCCTTTATTTATACATCCATTATACACTCTAGAGTTTCACATATTTACTAAAACCTCCTTTATAGTTGTGTATTAATAAAACATCCCTTAGCGTTTTCTGCAATTGCTTAATTAATCTACTATCAGGAATTGTTTGTATTTTTATTTGGGAATTAAATGTGTTACATGACCTCTTTTTTAAGTAGAAAATGTGAAAGGGTATGAGGCTAGTTTTTTATTCCAAAACTACCCCTAACAACTCTCATATCAACATTTTAGAAATAAAACTTAGGGGCAAAATCAACATTTTGTTTTTTCTTTAATTTTTTTTATCAATTAGGGGAAAACTATATATCTATCTATACGATATTATATAGCAACATAGGCCATGTGAGCAGCCCTCTCCTCCCATTCCCCCTTTTCTCATTTCTCCTTAAGGCTCTCTTCTTTCTTCCATACCCTTTCCCAACCTTTCCATGTAGCCACGCGGCAGCCCTCTCTTCATTATTAGAGTCCCACTCCAACTCTCTCTCTCTCTCTCTCCCTCTCTCTCTCTCTCTCTCTCTCATGTTCCCAATCACTTAGCCAATTCCCTCCTAAAATTTCCCCAAAACAATCTCTCCCACCTAAAATTCCTCCTAAAAGATCTCTTAATCTATGTTATATACCCAATAAACCATCTAAAAACCAAAAACGTGGTTAAATTAATTTATGAAATATTTTTGATATTTTTCAGTAATTATTAATATTATTGAATATTATTTATTAAATATCAACACCTAAACTATAATTTTTTATAATTTTGGTAAATTGGAAAATTTAATTACTAAAAATTACTTGCTGAAAATTACTGATTTTGGTAAATTTTGAAAATTAAGTATTGAAATCAATAATTACTGAAAAATTTATAATTAATTAAAATATTAATAAATACAAATTTAATAATTAAATATTATTGGTAATTGTTAATTGGAAAATTTATTTCAATAAATATATATTTATTTTTTACTTTTTTTGTAATTTTGATATTGTCAGTATTTTTTTAGAAATAAGTAGTTATTGATATTTTCACTAATTTTAGTCAATTTTAATATTTAATGATATTATCAGATAATAATGAAAAAATTTTGGCGGAAAATTAATTTCAATAAATATAAGTTTATTTTTTATATTTTGAGTAATTTTGATATTTACTATAATTTTCAAGCAATAATTAGTGATTTTGGTAATATAGGGCCATTTATAAAATTTTATGTAAAAAATGAAAATAAAAAACCAGGCCAACTATTCATACATACATTGTTGTGGGGATTTACCCACGTATACGCCCAAATCACCCAGACATATATCGATTCTTGTGTTTTCTTCTCTGTAATTGTGTTTTGGTTCATGTTCTCTTGAATTCTAACACAGGCAAGAAACAACCTGCCCAAACATAGACAACAAAATGATAAGTTTTCTCATCAAGTTGCACTGAATTCTTCAACTTATTATTTTTGTCTCTAGGATTCAACTCCAAAAGGTTCTTTCTCAAGGTTACGACGATAACACTTGGTCGATACAATGTAAACAAGGAAGGTAAGATGAAATCTGCTCAAAATTGATTCTGAATTTGTGCACTTGAAGGCTGTGTTAAGGGCTGTTTAACCAATAATAACGCCCCACATTAGCTATGCACATGAAGTGTGAGTTGAAGTGATTGTGGGGCATTTGCAGTTGATAGGGACTGGATCTAGTAGCCACAATACAATAAGCACATTCAATGAGCACTTGATAAATATTGACAACTATCAAAAGTGATTTTTAATCTTTTTTAAGGGTAAAGATGGGGTTATTTTAAGGGACATGTGTCAAAAAGTTTTCCAAGTGTTAATTGAATGTGCTTACCTGATCCGAACTGTGATTGATGTGTAGGAGATCAGATTTGCTGAACACACTGGTTGTGGGGTGCTTTGGAACCAATGGTGATGCCCCACACCAATCATAAATTGATTATATGGTTGACAACAACTCAATCTCACTCAGCATTTCAGCATTTATGACTGGTGTGAGGAATTATTATTGATTCCACAGTCTACTTACTTCAAAGTCATTGCCTTCATCTAATCAAAATTATGATCAGGTGGGGCGTTATCACTTAGGATTGATCATCAAAAACTGAAAAACCCAAAAACCAAGTTGAACCGACAAGACCAAGTAAAAAATTCCCGTTAATCAAACTGGTCATGTCGGTTTTTAATTAAATAATATAAAAAACTGGTGGTTAACCCAATTGACAAATTTACATATATTTATATATTATATGTATATTTATGTATATTATATATATTTTTCATATATATTTATAATATATAATATATTATTTATTATTTGTTATTTGTTATATAATATTTTATATGTATTTCCAATTGTTTATTATATATTTATATATTAATTTATAATATACATTATAAATATAAACAACAGAAAAATCGATGAACCAAACTGATGATTAATCAAATTGATCAACCAGTTAACGGATTGACTTTGGTTTAGTTTCAGTTACCAGTTTTTCAACCAATACCAACAGTTCAGTTAAAAAAATAAGCCCATGATTCAATTAATCAAACAGTAAACACCCATTTAGAATTTAGACTGCATTGATGCATGGCAACCCTGAACACACAGCCATCAATGCAGCCTAACCTAACTTGCTCAAAGTAATTGAGAATGCTGCACTTGCATTCAAACACGTAATGGGACAGTGGTAATCATAGACTAAGTGGAAGTGTAGGAAAGTGCAGCGGAGGCAGATGATCATCTACTCAAAGTTTATTGATATTTTTAAGATCTGAAACGTATTACTTGTAAAATAACATAACTTACAATCCATGGTAGATATGCTGGAGATGTTCGAGTCATATTACATTGTCCAAATTTCAACGTAAGCTTCAACACTCTAGCTAGTTCAGCAATTTCTATTACTACTCACATAACAAACAAGGTTTTAGATGTATCTTACCTTATTTAATTGTCCACTGCAGAAACAAGTACTGAGCCATACCGTCTCCATCTCATCAATGACACATCCAGTCCATCACCATCCGGTTCAGCCTCATTTCCCTTCATTCCCTCCTACTCCATCTACTTTCCCTCCATCTGTGTTTCCTCCCCAACCATTCCCACCAACAACCTATCCTCCACAGTCATACCCACCTCACTCAGGTAGCTTTCTTTATCTCTGGATCTTTGGTTCCTGTAGATACATCACCATTAACTTTTCATCCATGGAGTTTCTGACCATTTGTGGAATTGTTATTTGCAGGACCATGTCCAGGAGTCTATCCCCCACCATCCTTCTGAAGTGCAGCTTCGTATATATATAACAACGTTCATGGGGAATGAAATTACCCAATCGAGTGCACAAGTTATAGCTAGTAATTGTTATTGTTAGTGAGATGTAATAATAGAGAATATTATTGGTAATCATCTTGTCCAAGTGTCCAAGACTGAGGCTTTGCCTCTCTGGATGTTGGAAGAAATAATTAGATACTTCTATATTTTTGTGTTAGCCCGTTAATTATGTACCGATATTTTGTTTTCTTTGGATTTATGATGCATTTTTATTAATTCTTTTGCTGATGTTTATTATTTTCCTTTTAAGTCTGCATTTTAATTGATATATGCACAATAAAAGGTTTGGTATAATATTTATGGACATATAAGCTAGCTTCCAAAACCAATCGATGTGTTAAATGGAGAAATAAAAGACTCATCAGTTATCACTCATGCTCACTTTGAAGGGGTGAGTGCTGATTGGAAATGTTACAGGATAACAAACGCTTTGTAATTAAATAAAGCTTGTTTGCTTAAAGCAATTAGACTAATTCCATAAATCAAAGCACTTAGACTAACCTATGTACTATTATAAAGCTGATGTTTGCCTTAATTTTGGTGCATGTCATAAAAGTTAACTTAGATATTTAATATCAATTTATATCTTTACTATTTATTTGAGTTCACATCTATGCCCCCCACATCTCTACCTTGCATTGGGAACATCTCTTCATAATATGTACGGGAGATGAGAAGTAATGGTATAAATCGGGCTGGGTCCATTGACTTTGGACTGGCTTGGCATGGCCGGCACGGTGGCATGTGGGCCATGCTAGGCCCGACACGATGGTCCATGTCATGCTGGGCCTAGGGTTTTAGGTCCATGGGCTGGGCTGGCATGACACGACCAAGCAGGCTATGGGTAGTGGGCCATGCCGCCCACGGCCCGACCCAACACGACCCATATATACTATTTATATATTTATATATACTTATATATATATATAATATTATATTATATAAATTATAATTATATAATAATATATATTATATAATATATTAATAAAATAAACAATTGTTTTCAATTTTATTATACTAATTTATTTAATTGTTTTATATATATAAGCAATTGTATACATCAAAATTTTATGTTTTCTTTTTCAATTTCTTTAAATAAATAGGCAAAAATAGCTTTTGCCCGGCCCATGGCCCGACTTGGGCCAAGACTTAGCCCGTGGGCCAACCCGGCCCGCGGCACGGACGACACAGGCTTGGGCCATGGGCCGTGTTGGGCCGACCCCCAATCTTTTCAAGCATGACCCACTTTACACCTCTAATGATGAGACATCACTGGAAGATGTTCCCAATACTAGGTGGGGATGTGCTGTGGGGCACATATGTGAACTCCATTTACTTGCATGTGCCCTTATGCTAGTTCTATTAATCAGTAATCTTAGCTATGTTTCCTTAGGCTCCATTTGGGAAGAGTGTAAATGCCAGTTCAGTGCATATACACACTAATTCCGTTTTGCGGGTGTTTGGTTAGAATGCACTTGTATCTTGGAAATGACAGCTAGCATAGATTTCAAGACATGTTTGCAATCAAAATAAGAGCAAAGTTTGCATCCATGAAAGTTGGTCAATGGTAAGAAGGTAGATTCCAATATGGGGATTCAAGTTTATAACTATCACAACCAAGGTTCAGAGTATCGGAAATGTAAGGTATATCAGAAAGATAATTTTAAAAGACGTTTCGGAATATGCTTTGGATACATTAGGAAACTTATATAAATCTTAAAAAAATACATTAATAACAACAAATATAAATTTTATATAACCTTAAATAAGTTATTTAAACACTTATAAAGAAAACAAGTTATTTAAACATACAAACCCATACCTCAATAGTTTATATAAAATGTGAGATATAGGGACAAATTGGTAATAGTGGAAGATAATGGAAGGAGTAAAATGTGTATTAATTTTCAGAAAATTAATATAATTTATATAAATGTTTATTAGTATATAAATTTTAATAATCAATTTTAACATGAATTAATGACTATGCATTAAGAGAAAAATATTTGCTTAAAGAATAATAATACACACAATTATAATCAACAATTGAATATGGTGTAATCGTTTGTTTATGTTTATTACAATCAAATTACTAGGGTATAATTCTCCTTACCTTTCTTATTTGTATTTTTAAATATGTTGGTTTAATGGCAAGTCAACTTCAAAATTATTGCTTTAATGGCAGGTCAAATTAAAATTTTAATTTGAATATTGTCATAAATGTAGTAATTAATTATTAATTAAGAGAGAAAAGGAGTTATTAAGACAGAGGTAATAATTATAGGGGATTAGGAGTTATTTAGGGCAAGTTTCCTTAAAAGTAGGAGTTATTACAGAGACAAAGAATTATTAAATAGGCTTATTTATGAGAGAGAGATAATCGAATATTACAATATGTATCGGCCGATATATTCAAAATATCAGTCCTATATCGGTCAATACAGATTCAAAATGACCCAATACAGGTTCGTATCAATCCGATACATACGAAAAGGAACGAAGCTACTGGATTTGTAGCATTCCATGTATCGGGATGTTGCTAGAATGATACGTATCAGCCCGTATTAACCGATACATTGCAATTTTTTAAACCTTGATCACAACTAAAAATCATTTGATAAGAGTACAAAATTATCATTACAAACCAAACCAATTTTGCATTTTTATGAACCATACATATTTGAATTTGTATTGAACATTTTTGTATTTTCACTCTTCCCAAATGGAGCCTTAGTTTGGTTGCATTGCAAATTTCATTTATATTGGTGTGAATGCATAGGAGCACAAATCTATACTACTTTAAAAAGCATGAATGGCCTCAAGAATATTTATGGAATTTTCTAAGGACAAAATTTATCCCTTTATATTTAAATTTATTGAAAAAAATGAGGGCAAATAGGGTAATCAGTTATTGATATTAAATGAGTTAAAGAGGTAATTTAAAGATATTCAATGCATTCAATTCCCTCTCATTAAATCGAAATTTAAGTTATCAACTTGCATTCATGTTCATTGATTCATATATTTAAGTCATTTCCATTCATTACCAAGATAGCAACTAAATATGATTTCTCTTCTCTTACGCTATCTGATCTTTTTGGACAACTATTAAATCATGAAGCTTAGCTCTCGCAACGTAATTCTTTTCTTCTTGGTGACTCCTCTGCCAATATTGCAAGCAAACAATCTGTCTCTCAACCTCCATTTAGTTCCACTTCCTCCGTCGATCCCAATCAACAATGATCCTCCTTCCCTTAAAGTAATAGGGGTCACGAAAGCGGCAAATATAGTGGAAGTGGTGGACGAGGCAACTTTTAGAATTCTTAGATGTAGGTAAGGTGGTGGCTAGGATAGGGATAGGATAGGGAGGTGGTCACTTTGAAGGACAGAGGAAAACCGAGAGAAGGGAATCAACCGAGAGGCTAGGGTAAAGGGGGAGTGATCAATGATAAGGGTAATCAGTGATTGAATGAATGAATTTCGTTATGAGAAGGATCTCTATTTATGGAAGAGATCCCAAGATCATGAAAGGAAGGAGCTAAGGGTGTTTGCTTTCTACTAGGAAAGGAAATATTGGATTCGCTGTCAGTCATTAAGGAGCATTGCTAGGGTTTCGCCACATGTTCCTATGGGGATCTCTTCGAGGAGTGACTTTCCTTTCACTCGAAGATCCTCATAATCCACGTGTGCTATTACCTTTTGCACCTCACTTAACCGATGTGGTGCCAGTGACATCACTGTTTGATGGACAACGTCTTATTAGACCTATGTGGCACTTTGTCATGTTCATCACTTCAAAATTACGCGTGTAGCTAATACTCGAGCCTAGTTCTTAACAAACTAGGGTCCTATGGCGATTTGGGGTTGATCGTGGGGCCAAACGCATATAAAACCTCATTGCGGGTTCAACTTGAGTCTACTTTGGGCTTGTGCTAAGCGTAGGTTCATCGCAAGCGTGTGGTGAACCGCAGGTTCATCACAAACCTACGATGTACTATAAGTTCATCGTAGAGGAAATATGAGTTGCAGGCTGATCGCAAGCGTCCATGTGGCATCAATCTGGTGTTTTCTATGCTCTGAGGTATTGAGCGAGCACTATGTACCTACATTAGCCCCCCGCTTATTGATAAGTGAAATCTTATCAATAAGCATTTTATCTTCACATTTGTTTCGAAGTGCTACAATGGGTCAGTAATCACCTGTATGTTGGATCTGGGGATTTGCTCTATTTCGTGATTTTGTGTGATTAATAGGATTTTAACTATTAGCCCCCCTGTTTGTTGACACGTTGAGAATCGGCTACTTATTTGCCCATGCATCTTTGCGCATTAGTAGTCTTGGGTGAGAATTTGTTGTTTGTTCTTCGATGAAGTTCGTTCCATATCTTCTATGGTTTAGCCCCCTTGTCTTTTGATGATTCCCTTTCTGTCAATGGGCAATTCTATGTTGAGTTTGTGAGTTTCAGCCCCCCCTGGCCATTGGCAAGAAGGGAGTGAAAGACACTTACATATTTTGTTCTAGTGTGGGCGACAAGCCCCCCTGCATGTCAGGTTACTCTTGATGTGGATTCATGGTATGGGATAATGGTACAATGCCCAATAGCATATCATGTTCATTGGCTGTTGGGAATCAAGGAAGTATTGAATGATGGTTATGTGGCGGTTATCATAGGGGCTCTTTAACTGTCATTTTGTAATAAATGCACTGGTTCGTGCGTGGGGCATGGCGCTGATATCTTGTTTTTAAAGTGGCGGCTGAGGACGTGGCAGTTTATTCAAATTAATGTGCCATTTACTCCTGCTTGTTGGAAGGTATATCTGTAAGTTTGTTTAGGTTTCTTTTTCGTTAAGCATCATTTGGGGTCCCATACTGGCATCTGTTCATCTTCTCTGACGCCATTTGATATTCTAGACATGTGATAACTCTTTATAAAAGCCTAAGAGGGGGGGGGGGACTGCATCGATTCCCCACTTTTATCTTCTTGATATCGTCTTTGTACTGCTCCTGTGTCTTTTGGATTATCTTGTGACACACTCTCCTTTTCTTTTTGTGTTTTCTATCATATCCATTGTCTGTTCCCCATGGCTTCCGTCAGGGGAAGTTGGACTTTCCCTTCATCAATTTCATTAGGGAAGTCAATACAACTAAGTTGTTATTAGAGAGGGAAACGACTATGGTAGACAATGGGGGAAGGGGTTT